TTAGGAAAGCGAGGAGACGTCGCCTTGGTAATGGCTGAGACTGTCCAATCAGATAGTGCTAGCAAGCTCTTGGAGGTCGCAGCTCAATGACAACTTTAAGTAAACTTTTCTTTTTAAGATATAAAGATAGGCAAAAATGTGTTATCGTCCCCACATCACAAAACGTCATCTACAGATGAGTGCAATGTGAATGTTGATGGTCCAGCTGTCAAGCCTTACCCTCCAGCTTACTTGAATTGTTAAATTAGACACTGATGATATTCTTTATTGCTACTAAATGGATCTCAAATTGCGCATCACTGAATGAAGAATAGTGATTTTGAGCTTGAGAGAAGTCAGATGTGCTAAAAAGTGCACTATAATTTCCCGTAGTTTCTATTTATCATGTAGATGGTATTTTCTGAGAATGCTTAAGGAAGGAACCTGTCAAGTTCACGTAGATTGACTCTGGTAATACTCAAACCTATCAGCTTTAAGACCAGTGAGCTACTATCAGCGTCGTCCTTAAAAGACGAGTGTACTACTAATTGTGACGAAGAACGGAAGATTTGGATAGTTTTACGCTGATTTTCTTTTATGCTTGTTGCAGTTTGCTGTTTTGTGTACCAAGACATCTTCTTCAAAGGTATTGAATTAGAATCCATAATTTCTTTGACATAATAGCATTACATGTACATGCCTTAATGAGGATATGTTCTTATCCGTAACTGAAAATTCAGAACTGTTTGAAGTTCGTCACGGAATATTTTTTCAAATATAAATTAGTGTCACCTCATGAACTGATAGGTACATAGAACTAGTGAAAGCTGAAAGCCATCAATACCAAGAATTAGATATAAAATGTCTTCTAGCAAGAATTCATTCTTATATTGTGAGCAGAATAATGATTTAGGATTTAGGAAAAAAAGAGAATTACTCCAAAAGAAGACAAAAGGAGACTTCATCTCGAGTGATCTTTTAATCAAGTCCATTCCCACTACAAAAGTTTGATATTCATTGATTGACAGCTGTTGTAGCTATTTTTAGACATCGACATATGTTGTAAAATAGAGCGCTCAGTTTGACGTAAAAGAAAGGAACGTAATAGTGCTTGTTTTCGGTCATTTTTCTATAACTAGTGCAAACTAGATAGTGTTATTCTTTGAACAGTCAACGTAGAATCACAGCAATTGTTTCGTGACTTTTTCAGCTGTATACAAAATATTATTCTTGTTACGATTTAAATATACTATGAAATTAAATCTAAAGGAAAGCTCTGATTTTAAACGAGCAAACTTGCGTTCTTCAGAATGATGAACCAATTATTCGCATGAAACTAATTTCGGTGAGCAAACAACCCCACGCGAATAAAGTAAAGCTGTCACGCCTTGTGGCTAATATTGAGGTCGTTTCGTATTTTCAATACCAAGTACTGACAACATCTAACCAGAGTAAATACAGGGTAAAATCCTAATCTAGCGATAGAAGTGTTTAGAATAAACAGCTTACTTTCCTCGCCTCCTCAACAATAAATCGTGTACAATTTTTCTTCGCATGGAGAAGGAAGGATTCTGGGTAATTTATTATCTCACACTTTCCAAATGTCACGATGGTATTTCTGGTTCAAAACTTAATTAGCTTGCTCCTCAATTTGATGGATATGATATCATTCACTACAACCCAAGAGGTCCTTATCTTTGTTCAATGTGCAGTGTATGTAGTCAAAAACGCAATCAAGTAACATAAAATTGGCTGCCGCTAACAGTTTTTGACCCTTAATTTTGACATTTTTATGAAATGGATCAAACCGTAAAGTATCTTGGGACTTTCAAATATATTCATTAGATGTCCAAACTCTAAACATTGAGGTAATAGAGCCTGAGTTCATTTTTCCTTGGTAAGTTATATCTTCATGGATAAACCTAAAGGTAAAGGCTTTGGCCAAATCTACACAGTTGACAAAATGTTGCATGATTCAAAAAGCCTTACATCATCAAAGCTAAGACCGAAACGAAGCATGGGAAAACCATTAATATCATCACAGTGCTTCTGTTCCTTAAAATTGTTTGCGTCGAATACAAAATGGGCTTTTCTACGAGTAATGCTATAATTTAATATGTTTAGGCAAATGTAATTCAAATTTCCGGGTACCCAAAATCCCCTTCGGTCTTATAATCGATAAATATTGTGACAATCAGGCCTTTTCTGAAATTTTCTAGATTTGTACAAACAGGTTTTGTTTTGCGGCCAATTAAGGAATTGTCTGTACTTAAGCTAGGCCACAATGCATCATGATTTTTTATTTCAAAAGGTGTGTGTCATATTTTTGTGACAACGATATTTCAATTAGTGGTTCGAGAAAAGGTTATCCTGCTGTTTTGATAAAGTGAAACTACATTTATTTTTGAAAAAAAAAAGATATTAATTCATAAATACTTCTCAAGTCCATAGCATTCAGCGTTTCCCACGCCGTCTTTGTTATATTTTTGAGACTTGAATGTGATGTTGTTCCTAGTCTAAAAGGTTATGGTTTTCAGGAATAGTATCATGCTGTGACCAGCAATATCATTAGCATAAATGGCTAAATTTCTGAATAACTATTCAAGTAGACTTTGCGAACGCATGATTCGTCACATAAGCCCACTTCAAATATTTTCTATTTATAGAGATTTTCAAAAGTACCTTACAAATAACATTCTGAGGGAATCATGATGTAAAAATCTCGTAATTAACGTTTTTCAGAACTATTTAAGTACCTCAGCATTGTAGCTTTTAACACGCGTCATTTTGGCGCCATTTTCACGGTTACATGACCAGAGTTAAATTATGATGTTTTCATTAGTAGAATTAAAACAAAGTTCAATTAAAAAAGGATTCCGCGAAACATGAGAGAGGCATGAATACTTAAAAACTATACACTTAAACACAGCATTTTCTTTGTATTGAGTTTTCTTGAGATTTGTGTTGATCAATAACATTCGGCCTTAGAAACCTCTGGAAATGGCTCCAAGCCCACGAACATAGCACATGATCGCATCGTGTTGCTATTAAATGTTCAGAAATTACGTTTCATTATTTACTTTTAATGTCGCAGTCTTTATCTGCAGGCGCACTGGTTATTTACTGTAGGAAATTAACGCATAATTTGATTGACTGCAGTCGCCGCTTGAATACACACATTTTTATTCGTTTTTATAAGCGATAGGTCAGTCAAGCCGAGCTTCAGCACAGGGCGATATCACAGGTAAATGTTAACTTTTAGTTGAACTTTTGAATGCGTATTGAATGAGCAATTACAGTTTTAGCTTTCACTTAAACTTGATCAACATACATTTGTTGATTGCAGATTCTTCTCTTCTTGTTTTGAAGTAGGAAAAACCTCAAATCCTGAGCGAAATTTTTGCAAATTTTTTTTTGAAAACTGGTACGCCTTGAACAAGCAATCTTTGTAATTCGAGCAAAACTATATACTTCCTTCACTTATAGCTAATTACATTTCAATTAAAAACATGGAAGTTATTTCTTTACAGAAAGAGTGATTTATATGAATGGCAATTGACCACGGTGTATGCAAAGGCAATTCAGTCAATGGCAAGATTTTCAGTTAAAATGAGAATAGTATGAAGATATGTTTTCGTCTAAACAAAAAATCAATTGATTAACAATGCAATTTTTTATGAAGTTTTCAAATAAATCATTCAAAATGACGGATTTTTAGAAGTTTGGAATACCACCTTGGCCAAATACCATCAATGATTCATCATAGCGTGCGAAAACAACTATTTTTAATTAACTAGCAAATTAAATTATTGACTCGCTTTTTAAGTACTTTAAAATTGCTGTTTCATTTTTTATTTTATTTTTGTATCTGACCGCGTTATATTTGCCGAGCACTTAGCAATCGAATACATCACTTAAGCTGTCACTAGTCAGGTATTGCCTTGGGTAGTATAATGCTCCGTGCGTTCTCCCGGATGCAACACAGGCACTCGCATGACTAGAACTGATTTTTCTCGTTGTGACGATTGTAGTGGTTCTTCCCCGTGATGTAACATTGGATTGTGGATCGGCTTTTTACTAGAAAGTTCTTTTAACATACTCTAGTGTGGATATCACATTAATACTATTTCAATGCATTCTCGACGAGAGATTTCTCGCAAAGAAACTTTGTTTTTGGCATGCATCGACATCTTGACACAATTTATCAACACCACTTGGTGCACTACTTTTGTACGTTAGTTTCTTTGACTTTTCGGTGAATACACTTTGTTTCACGGGCTAATGAAAACCTGTTTAACCAGTTTGAACATTAAACATTCATCAATTTCAAGCTTTTCATAAAGCACAAATATTCATCGTCGTTCTACATTTCAATTGCTGCATGTCACAGGTTGTCGTCCATTGATGTTGGTTCTATAACCGCGCATTGATTGCTTAAAAGGGCACTTGCATACCAAGGACCTCATCGATCGCTCCTTTTTTTACGAATGTTCCCCTGCTGAAAGGTATTTTCTGATTGGTCCACTGAAATCAAAGATCGCGAATTTTCGCATTTAAAAAAATCGCGCAAAGGTTCTTGGTTGCGTGTGGTCCTTAATAGCATGTAGCCATATCTTTAATTCAGTCCTTCCCCCTGTCCGACCAAGTCATGGAAGCTGTTTCCTACTGAATCATTAGAAAGATTAAAATGCTTTATTTCAGTTTTTTTTCTTTTGGGAAATGCAATTTTTCATATTTTTATACAAAATTACATGATAGTTGTGCAAGAGATTCAGTCCTGATACACGAATGTGCTGATCGAATATTTGAATTTCTTCTAAAACTTTCGATAGTAGACTTGTATCTCATGCATGTTTCGATAACAAGGTGCCAGTTACCTGGGCACGTCAAAACTCGATCAAATCGGTAAAATTTGTCAGTTAAGCCAATCTGAATCGGTAATAAGAGTAGAGAAAAATCAAAACTTTAATTCACTGTCCGCGTTTTTAAGTGATTTAACTATTATCATTATAAATCCTTTTTCCGTTCATTTTTAAGAATTAGGTTCTAAGAAATGTACTTTATTTCTGATGAATGATAATCCAATTGCGAAAATAAGCTTCTTTAATGAAATCTGTAATTTTTATCATTTGAAATTTATTCTTAAAAATGGTATTTGAAGCAGCTTGATCGAGTGCTGCTTTACCTGAAGCTCATTCATGACTACATTAATTGCCGTTTGCTCTTCCCTTAAATAAAAATTGTAGTCGGACATTTTGATGCTACATTACACATTTTTTTCGGCTTTCTCGTATCTTTTCTTTTGTATCAAGAGAAAAGTCCGGAGTACCAAAATTCCATCACGTTTTCTGTTTTCAAGACAATAATTATACAAATTGCGCGCCGATCTCTGAGTTCTTCTTAAGTCTAACTTACGGCCTAACTTATCGGCCTTAAGCGCAATCTGACGTAAGTTCTAACGTCATGTTTATATCTATCTTGGTCTATATAACCCAACTTACGGTCTGTCGTACAGCGTACGTCCCATTACCTGACCATTTGCTAAACTCCTAAGGTATGGTTTAATGACGAACGCAACTAACGTATCGTCTGACGTAAGGTGGATATTTTGAGCCACGATCTATAAACTATAATTAAGGTTTGCCGTCTATTGATTATTCGATATATAAAAACAAGATAAAAATAGCATTATCATCATCATTATCATCACCATCGTATGTTCTCTCTTAGCACCATTAGTGGTCTCCGGGTGCTTATGCATTGCATGAATTGTCTTTATTTCGTCATTGTCCTCCTAATCTGTTGGGGGTCCATACCAAGTGTCTTCTTTATCTTGTTCCAAACATTCTTAGACGCAACATCATTATAACTGGCTCTTTAACAAAGTGGCTGCCGCTCATTAACATAGCTTTTCTCTTCAACCAAAGGCAAAGTGAGCCATGAAAAAAATGAGCCATGAAATACTTTTAAAAGAGGAAAACATACTTAGAATATATATACAAAAAAAATCTTAGTAGGTTTCATTGAAAATCCACAGAGATGAATTGTTTTTAGAATTACGAGAAACATATGATTGGGCTATGGCTTATCCATGGACTCAAATTTCTCTGTACAATTTTTCGTTTTGAAAAATTTATATCTTTTCGAGTTTTATTGGAACTTGGTAGGAGTTTACACAAGTGAAGTATGGTTTTTGGTAATGCGGGGGTAATTTTGTGTGAGATTGAAAACATATGCACTGATGAGCGGCGGCCATTTTGCCAAAGGGTCTTTTAGGGTCATCAATATGATCCTTTTTGCTATTGTCATAATCATTGCGGAGGATTTGTAAAGTAGTCAAATTTGTTTCCTATAAATATATAAAAGCAAAAAATATGTTTCCATTGCTTTATTGAATTTTCTTTTGACTGATTTATAGTTAAAAAAGATTGTACATCCGGTCAAGTAATGCGACATATATGAGAATCCTTCCAACTGTCCCATGTAGCTTTTAGTTTATTAGATTCAAATTAGACGTTCTATCAGTTAGGTGCTAATCCTCTTTTCGCAAGTAATATACTTCCATGAATATTAACAACCATCATTGAGGTCAAACCTTTAAGATGGCGTTGTCATTGCGTCTTACGATTATTTTCCTATAATTACAATCGACCGCATAGAAAATTGAGCAAAACTTAATAACTCGCACTCTCAATGCTTGAATGTCAGCAGGACTCGATCACAGGTGAGTGTTGTTATTTTGTTTGCAGAAAACGCATATGGATCGATATCATCAATGATTTTATTTGAACATCTCACCCTTAAAACAACAAACTGAAATATTTTTTATTAAAACTAAGATGCTACTAGTCAAGCTTAACTGTCAATATACTTTTGCCATTTCGCTACCGTTATTTACATGTGGCCGGAGTTTGTAAACCTTGGCTGAAAGTCATTTGAACACTATGCCTTTTCAAAGTTCCATTTTATCCATTGTATATATTTGTATGATGCTAAAAGGTATATGGTCGATATTAAGCTCGTAAGTTTATTTTACCATTTTTATTACGTTTTGCAACTTTCCTTTTAAAATTATCCATTTAAACATTTCAATATCTTATGAATGCCGCAAACAATATTTACAGAATTTGACATGGTGAAAATTGAATATAGGAAACCTCCGTGCTTATATATGGCTAAGGAAAACAAATGTTATCGTTCATCTCGGCTCATTTTAACTTCATTGCGGCTTAACACATTTTTAATAATTTTTTTAAGCGGATTAAAGCAATATTTGAGATTAGACCCGTTTGGGTAAAACTGGATAATTTGGAAATAAATATTGCGGTTAGTTAAGCAACTGTATGTTTCTCTCATGGACCCCTTAGAAACAGAATTCCTTGTTTTCCATGAATGCTTGAAAAAAAAACATTGATATAGATGTCAAGAAAAGAAGGTCTATAAACTTCTATTAGTGATGTTATAGTTAATTCTCTGAGTGATGTCTAGGAGGTCATCAAGTGCATTACTCGTATGGTACACTGTGCCTTGCCATGGTGCACTGTGCCTTGCCATGGTACACTGTGCCTTGCCATGGTACACTGTGCCTTGCCATGGTACACTGTGCCTTACCATGGTACACTGTGTCTTGCCATGGTGCACTGTGCCTTGCCATGGTACACTGTGCTTTGCCATGGTACACTGTGCCTTACCATGGTACACTGTGTCTTGCCATGGTACACTGTGCCTTGCCATGGTACGCTGTGTCTTGCCATGGTACTCATTTTATTGTAACATTTTTTATAGTAGTTTGTATGGTATCTTATTTACTAGTATCTTTGACTCAATTCACTGATCTCTTTTGTTTATGAAGTGCGCATACCGTGTTTGCTCCAGTAAGCGCCTCCCCCGAATAAGCGCCCCCTCTCAGACTCGAGAAATTAAACAAGCGCCGGGGCGCTTATTCGAGTAAATACGGTAAGTTGTTTCAAAGATATAATAGATCATCGTATGTCAAAATTGACAACTTACCAGTGATAATTCATCAACGTGTTATCAAAATAGCATTAGGCAAACCAGGTGACCAATTTATTTTAATTCATTTTAACGAATGAATGTGTAATTGTGCGTGAGTGAAATCATTGTATTGTACTATAATAAAAGAGTGAAATTAGAAATTCTAATCAGTCCAGTTACATTACCTCCGATGTTAGAGGTCTTTAAGGGAAATAACAACGTCTATAGGATATCTCTCGATATCTGAAGGCCTTTAAATGGAGTATTTATGGTTATCTCGAGCTACCAAGTAATACCCAGGTGCTTACAGTGTCTTTGCAATGATAGGCAAAGTCAGTAGTCATCCACGTGTAGCAAAGGACTGAGCCACAAATAATGATAATATCCCGGTAAGTTAACAATAATACATATACGAGCAGTACGTAATTCGGTATTTAAAACACAAATACACATGAATATAACTCTAAACTATCTTTTATATCGCCATAGCAACAGTTTATTTCGACTTACAAACGAGCAATGAAAGTCAGACCAATCATACGCTTGCAATTAATCAGGCATACAGCACAGTAACTTATCGAACTTTCATTTATCGCTACGTTTTAATAGAGGGAGTACTCTATGCGTTCAGCCCAAATCAAGATAACTGGTGATGTTACTTTTGACGAGGGTATTCGGTTCAAAAGGTGATGCTCTAAAATATATTTTTTTAAGAAACTTTTATCTATGCCTTCTTCCACGGGTAAGGTGGTGAATTCTGAGCTTTATTGTTAGATCGACGTTTAGTTTCACGACTGAAGTTGAGCATATTCATTTTGTCGTAACTTTCGCAGCAATCGGTAATTCTGCTGGTCTAAGAAGTAATCTGTAGGCTATTGTTGTGCGATTATATGTTATGTGCTAAAAACAAAAACCCTTACAAATGTTTTCTTATTGAGAGCACTGCTTATGAAACCGTATTTCAAACTTAATAATAAGATCTGGATTATATAGAAAGGATTATTTTTATTAAACCGTTAGGAATGCCGCTAACTGAAATACTTCCTAGTTTATTTTCATGAAAGGTGCATGCTTCCCAGGGTTTTTTTCTGTAGAACATTATCTGGCAATCATCGATCTTAAATTGCCTGTCGAAATAATAAGGTTCCAATGGTGTTAATGAAAGTGTTGTGGTTGGGTACGTCTACAGGGTGCAAGAACAACACTTCAAAACAAGGGAAAACGATCATTTCATGGCAAAGATTTCTTATTTATTTGTAATTTTTAACAAGACGCCCTTGGTTTCCTAATGAGGAAAATTAAATAGTAAAACTGCATAGCAAAAAAAAATACAGTGACAACAACAACAACAATGAAGACTTTATTCATTTAAATGTACTCGAGCTCTTAACCAGTGTATCTCTACATTTAGTCAAACCTTTTATATATAATTGGTGTAACTTTTGGATCGCAGAGCAACCATTCAAGTGTTGATCAAATTTTCGATAAAACCATTCAAATGTGCTGAAGAAGAGGATAGAACTTCTTTCATGATTTAAATATCCTTGATCTTAATATTCTTATCCCTGTAAAATGCAACAAACGTTTAGTAAGCGCTGTGTTTTTGTTTATTTCTTGCGGAAAAGAGTTTTCAGAGTTTCTATCGCAAGAATTCCAACCTGGTTAAGGATCGATTGATTTCCGATTTACTCAGGGTTTTGGTCGACAGAGAATACATTTTAATTATCACCAGTCAAAACTACAAGTTAAGTTGGTTTTCATTTCTCGTGATTCTTCAGACGTAGTTATATTTCTAAGTACAGAAATTTTGACAATCTCTTCTCAATTGACTATTTGATATGCTTATATGTGGGTTTGCTCTGTTCGAGCTATTATGCGATTTGCAGATATTTTCGTTTCTGGCTAAAGCCACAATTTAGGGCTGTTGGATGATTAAAAATGTTTGATAACGGATATACAAGACGGGAAGAAACCACTTAGAATAATGCAGGATATGGACATAATGGGAAACGAAGTTGATGGCTTTCCCTCAGATCACGATATTACAATGTTATTGTGGTGGAAAAAGCATATCTGATTATGATATCATTTGGTATAAGAAATAATAACAACAAAAAACGATCTCGAGATTAAGAGCCAAAAAAGTAGGGATGTTTTTCAGAAAGATAGCCGGTGTCTTACGTAAGGGGCGCTAATGATAATCCTGTAAGAGTGTTGATCATGAATACTAAATAATTCTATTGCAGCATTCAGAGATAAAAACTGCCAAGCGATGTTTCTAGTGTGCCCTTAGGTAAACCATTCTAGTTTAATTTGCCGAAAAACACAAATCAACAAGTAAATTGGTTAAATGTCTTCACGTTGTTTCATTATGCTGCTGGCTCTTCGTGTAAATTAAACCATGATATTGACCAACCATTATTTTGTGTTTGTCGATTTACCTCGCTTAACTTTTCGAATATTTTTTTCGAGTGCCCATTGAGTATGAAAAATGTCACGAGACCTGCTACAACGTTGCTTTTAATATTTATTTTGTGTTTCAACTGTGAATTTACTGATTTGTGTTTAGAGATTTTATTTGCATCAGCAAACACCACCCTAAGCAAAACATAATTTCCCATTAGAGCTGAAATTGAACAGAAAAATAAATTCTGTTGATAAATACATTTGCTTTCTTTATTATGAAAAACTGTTTTCCCTTTTATTAATTTTTCTACCATCATTATGACTTCTTGATTCTCTATTAAATATATATATACTAGAAAAAACACGTTTTGTGTAATTTACTCTACAAATGTTGTTATTTTATAGCTATATATTGAAAATGTTGACCGTAAAAGCAGTGAAATTGTACTTCTAATCTATCAGATACAGGGCTCCAAACTTGCGGTAAAGTAATTTCACTTTCAAGACAAAACATGATTTTGAATTGCATCATTAGCAAATCTTAATTATCTGCGCAAATGTTTTCTACGACATCCTAATTGAAGAGACGTTGTGGCTGATAACTGCAAACATATCGACGAACAGATATCATGGAACAATACTTATATGAGTGATGTTTACTGAGTAAAAACACCTTGAGATATCTTATCTTGTCTTTTTTATTGTAAGCAACTCAAAAACATTGCCTTCGAAACACTTAAAATGCGTGGTCATAAAAGACCGATTCAAACAAACGTGTAAAAACAAAACCCTCAGCAATATCTTTAAAATGTTGATACAGTATTTATCGACGTCTTGAATCGATCTATGAATACATGGGTGTATCATCAAACGATGAATTATACAGTTTATACCATTGGTCGATCAATATAACCGTCTATCCATGGTCTATCAAGATAGGTCTATCATTGGTCTGACAATATAGGTCTATCAATAGTCTATCAATTTAGTTCTATCAATTTAGGTCTATCATTGGTCTATCAATATAGGTTTATCATTGCTCTGTTAATATAGGTCTATCAATTTAGGTCTATCGTTGGTCTGTTAATATATATCTATTATTGGTCTATCAATATGGGGCTATCATTGATCAATCAGTATAGGTCTATCATTGGTCTATCAATATAGGTCTTTCATTGGTCTGTCAATATAGGTCTAGCATTGGTCTGTCAATATAGGTCTATCAATAGTTTATGAAGTTAGTTTTATTGACAAAGGTCTATCAATGGTCTATCATTATAGGTCTATCATTGGTCTATCAATATAAGTCTATCATTGGTCTGT